AATTTAAGAATATGTAACAATATGCAAGAATATGTAAGAATATTTTAAGAATATATAAAAATTTTGCCCATCCCTAGTTACCAGACATAAAGGAGGGTGAGCTAGTTGATAGTCCTCTTCTATAACTGCATAATTGTACGACAATGGTATTTTTATAGAGTTCGGATGAATAAACGAATATGCTTAAGGTTGTCGATCTATCCGGTGAGGACAATACAGGTTAGTGACACACTTAATTAAGGGTATAATGGGTTTTAAGGTTATAGTTGGGGCTTTATTTATAATTATAGTTATGTATATGTGCGTACGTACGTATGTACATATTTTCTTTATTTAGTTTTTTGTCAGAGTAGAAAAAGGGTGTGTTCTTTAATAGTTTAGTTGACGTGTTTATACACTTCTGGTTCGAGACCTAATTCCTGAGTCGCAAACCAACATCGGCTGTCTTAGACCAGAATCTATGGTTAAAAACCACTATTTACTTAGATGCTTTACCGAAAAGAAACACCATTGTTTGGGGGAAATATGCTAACTATATGCAGGGCAGGGCAGATTACAAAAAAAAAATCAGGCGATTGTATGGGTGTGCAGCGATCTAAAAAGATACATCAATTTGCAAACAGCGATAAACAATAAAGAACTTTTAATGGATAAACTAGAGCTTTAATGAGTTTGAAGGTTTTTATTTTTTAAATATAAAGATATTAGTAAGCTTTTTTACAGACTTAAAAAATATAAAGATCACACTTCCGTGATAATGTATTTGTGAATGCCTCTTTAAATATAACAACATACGGTAATATTGACAGTCTATAATAATGTATAGGCAATATCGGCAATAATATCGGGATTATAAAAAAAAATTTACCATTTATAGTCTGGGACTATCTCGTGATGGTGTACAACACTGTGCATACATACATTACCATTAGTAATTACATCTTACCACTACGTATCTCACCCAAATGAAATTTTACATCTTAGCGCGCTAGTGCTTGAAAATTTGATTATTAATTATGTAATACAATATATCCCAAAGGAGCTAGATTTATCAATTCGTTCATTATTTATAGTGAAAAAATTAATTGTTGAAACATTTTTCTCAGTCATGTTAAAAATGATTCAAATTTTACGAAAATTAAATATAACATCTTTTGATGTTATTATTTTATTTTTACTTTCATTCTTAAGTTATATTATTTATCTTGTAATAAAGTATCCAGATTGTGCAATAGGAACAATTTCTAGGAAAGATCTCGTTGGACCTAAGGGTATTCCATTAATCGGAAATTTAATCTCTCTCTTAAGAAGAAATACATACGTTCAATACGAACAAGAATTGGCAAATAAATATGGTTCACTTTTGTATTTATTTTTTTTAAAAAAAAATAAGTATTTATACCATTGATAAAAGAAAAAATATTGATTTCAATATATTTTTTTTAAATGTAAATAGCACAATTACAGTTTTACAACATGGTCGAACTATTGTCTCAAATGATACACAAACAATAGAACATGTTTTAAAAAGTGAATATTTTTTTAAAAAATCTAAGTTAACATGAATAATTTTTAAAACTTTATATTTTAAATTAAGCGGATTTTGATGAGTATGGAAAAAGTGATGACTATTACGAAATAGGTTACGATATATTTGGTGATGGGATATTTTCGGTTGATGGGTTTGTATCTTACTAAATATTATTACTTGAAA